GTCCGTCCGTCCCTCCGTCCGTCCGTCCATATGTATGAACGCAAGGATCTCAGAACATATAAGAGCTAAAGACTTGAAATTTTAGATGTAGGTGCTCCTAGTGCCTGCGCATATCGAGTTTGTTTCCGATAATCGATAACTTACTCCGTTTTCCAAGCAATCGATATCGATATCCTGTTTTTTGGGAAATTTTGGTAAATAATAAGAGCTAGAGTCCCCAAACTTGACATGTAGCTTCTAAGATAGAATATATATATGCATTTGATGTTGGAAGAAGAGATATGACGTTCCAAAACGACATAATATCTCGGGTAATAGCTCCGCGCGGAGATATGACGTTCCAAAACGACATAACTCTCCGCAGAGATATGACGTTCCAAAACGACATAATATCTCGGGTAATAGCTCCGCTTGGATATATGACGTTCCAAAACGACATAACTCCGCGCGGAGATATGACGTTCCAATCATTGATGGGTTGAAAAATGTTGTTGACAAAAAACCGATTCGTTCGTAAATTCAACCTTTTTGATGATTTTTTGGAATATTTCCGTCAAATAATGTCCGATTTTGGAATTTTATACCATTTTTGTCTCGTAAGGGTAAATTCTATCGATTGGCATCAAAAAAAGGAAATCCAAAATTGTGACACAAATCGACAAAATGGCAAGGTGTTACATCACGTTTTATTTTCAAAATCGAGGTCGGTGCGAAAATCGAAACTTTTTCGATGATTTTTTTTTTAATATCTCGTGTAATAGCTCCGCGCGGAGATATGACGTTCCAAAACGACATAACTCCGCGCGGAGATATGACGTTCCAAAACGACATAATATCTCGGGTAATAAATCCGCGCGGAGATATGACGTTCCAAAACGACATAATATCTCGGGTAATAGCTCCGCGCGGAGATATGACGTTCCAAAACGACATAATATCTCGGGTAATAGCTCCGCTTGCAGATATGACGTTCCAAAACGATATAACTCCGCGCGGAGATATGACGTTCCAAAACGACATAATATCTCGGGTAATAGCTCCGCTTGGAGATATGACGTTCCAAAACGACATAACTCCGCGCGGAGATATGACGTTACAAAACGACATAGTATCTCGGGTAACAAATCCGCTCGGAGATATGACGTTCCAAAACGACATAATATCTCGGGTAATAGCTCCGCTTGGAGATATGACGTTCCAAAACGACATAATATCTAGGGTAATAGCTCCGCTTGGAGATATGACGTTTCCAAACGACATAACTCCGCGCGGAGATATGACGTTCCAAACCGACATAACTCCGCGCGGAGATATGACGTTCCAAAACGACATAACTCCGCGCGGAGATATGACGTTCCAAAACGACATAATATCTCGGGTAATAGCTCCGCTTGGAGATATGACGTTCCAAAACGACATAATATCTCGGGTAATAGCTCCGCTTGGAGATATGACGTTCCAAAACGACATAACTCCGCGCGTAGATATGACGTTCCAAAACGACATAATATCTCGGGTAATAGCTCCGCTTGGATATATGACGTTCCAAAACGACATAACTCCGCGCGGAGATATGACGTTTCCAAACGAATTAGCTCCGCGCGGAGATATGACGTTCCAAAACGACATAATATCTCGGGTAATAAATCCGCTTGAAGATATGACGTTCCAAAACGACATAACTCCGCGCGTAGATATGACGTTCCAAAACGACATAATATCTCGGGTAATAGCTCCGCTTGGATATATGACGTTCCAAAACGACATAACTCCGCTTGGATATATGACGTTCCAAAACGACATAACTCCGCGCGGAGATATGAAGTTCCAAAACGACATAATATCTCGGGTAATAAATCCGCGCGGAGATATGACGTTCCAAAACGACATAATATCTCGGGTAATAGCTCCGCTTGGATATATGACGTTCCAAAACGACATAACTCCGCGCGGAGATATGACGTTTCCAAACGAATTAGCTCCGCGCGGAGATATGACGTTCCAAAACGACATAATATCTCGGGTAATAAATCCGCTTGAAGATATGACGTTCCAAAACGACATAACTCCGCGCGTAGATATGACGTTCCAAAACGACATAATATCTCGGGTAATAGCTCCGCTTGGATATATGACGTTCCAAAACGACATAACTCCGCTTGGATATATGACGTTCCAAAACGACATAACTCCGCGCGGAGATATGACGTTCCAAAACGACATAACTCCGCGCGGAGATATGACGTTCCAAAACGACATAATATCTCGGGTAATAAATCCGCGCGGAGATATGACGTTCCAAAACGACATAATATCTCGGGTAATAGCTCCGCTTGGAGATATGACGTTCCAAAACGACATAACTCCGCGCGGAGATATGACGTTCCAAAACGACATAATATCTCGGGTAATAGCTCCGCGCGGAGATATGACGTTCCAAAACGACATAATATCTCGGGTAATAAATCCGAGCGGAGATATGACGTTCCAAAACGACATAACTCCGCGCGTAGATATGACGTTCCAAAACGACATAATATCTCGGGTAATAGCTCCGCTTGGATATATGACGTTCCAAAACGACATAACTCCGCTTGGATATATGACGTTCCAAAACGACATAACTCCGCGCGGAGATATGACGTTCCAAAACGACATAATATCTCGGGTAATAAATCCGCGCGGAGATATGACGTTCCAAAACGACATAACTCCGCGCGGAGATATGACGTTCCAAAACGACATAATATCTCGGGTAATAGCTCCGCTTGGATATATGACGTTCCAAAACGACATAACTCCGCGCGGAGATATGAAGTTCCAAAACGACATAATATCTCGGGTAATAAATCCGCGCGGAGATATGACGTTCCAAAACGACATAACTCCGCGCGGAGATATGACGTTCCAAAATAACATAATATCTCGGGTAATAGCTCCGCGCGGAGATATGACGTTCCAAAACGACATAATATCTCGGGTAATAGCTCCGCGCGGAGATATGACGTTCCAAAACGACATAACTCCGCGCGGAGATATGACGTTTCCAAACGACATAACTCCGCGCGGAGATATGACGTTCCAAAACGACATAATATCTCGGGTAATAGCTCCGCGCGGAGATATGACGTTCCAAAACGACATAACTCCGCGCGGAGATATGACGTTTCCAAACGACATAACTCCACGCGCAGATATGACCTTCCAAATCATCACGATTTTTTTCTAAATCGAGGTCAGTGCGAAAATCTAAACTTTTTCGATGATTATACCCTGTACCCATTTAAAATGGGTATAAGGGTATATTGTATTTTTGCAAGATCCAAATGTATGTAACAGGCAGAAGGAAACATCTCCGACCCCATAAAGTATATATATTCTTGATCAGCACCAATAGCCGAGTCGATTTAGCCATGTCCGTCTGTCTGTCCGTCCGTCCGTCCGTCCGTCCCTCCGTCCGTCCGTCCATATGTATGAACGCAAGGATCTCAGAACATATAAGAGCTAAAGACTTGAAATTTTAGATGTAGGTGCTCCTAGTGCCTGCGCATATCGAGTTTGTTTCCGATAATCGATAACTTACTCCGTTTTCCAAGCAATCGATATCGATATCCTGTTTTTTGGGAAATTTTGGTAAATAATAAGAGCTAGAGTCCCCAAACTTGACATGTAGCTTCTAAGATAGAATATATATATGCATTTGATGTTGGAAGAAGAGATATGACGTTCCAAAACGACATAATATCTCGGGTAATAGCTCCGCGCGGAGATATGACGTTCCAAAACGACATAACTCTCCGCAGAGATATGACGTTCCAAAACGACATAATATCTCGGGTAATAGCTCCGCTTGGATATATGACGTTCCAAAACGACATAACTCCGCGCGGAGATATGACGTTCCAAAACGACATAATATCTCGGGTAATAGTTTGGAAACGTCATATCTCCGCGCGGAGTTATATCGTATTGGAACGTCATATCTCCGCGCGGAGCTATTACCCGAGATATTATGTCGTTTTGGAAACGTCATATCTCCGCGCGGAGTTATGTCGTTTTGGAACGTCATATCTCCGCGCGGAGCTATTACCCGAGATATTATGTCGTTTTGGAACGTCATATCTCCGCGCGGAGATATGACGTTCCAAAACGACATAACTCTCCGCAGAGATATGACGTTCCAAAACGACATAATATCTCGGGTAATAGCTCCGCGCGGAGATATGACGTTCCAAAACGACATAACTCCGCGCGGAGATATGACGTTTCCAAACGACATAACTCCGCGCGGAGATATGACGTTCCAAAACGACATAATATCTCGGGTAATAGCTCCGCGCGGAGATATGACGTTCCAAAACGACATAACTCCGCGCGGAGATATGACGTTTCCAAACGACATAACTCCACGCGCAGATATGACCTTCCAAATCATCACGATTTTTTTCTAAATCGAGGTCAGTGCGAAAATCTAAACTTTTTCGATGATTATACCCTGAACCCATTTAAAATGGGTATAAGGATATATTGTATTTGTGCAAGATCCAAATGTATGTAACAGGCAGAAGGAAGCATCTCCGACCCCATAAAGTAAATATATTCTTGATCAGCATCAATAGCCGAGTCGATCTAGCCATGTCCGTCCGTCCCTCCGTCCGTCCGTCCATATGTATGAACGCAAGGATCTCAGAACATATGAGAGCTAAAGACTTGAAATTTTAGATGTAGGTGCTCCTAGTGCCTGCGCATATCGAGTTTGTTTCCGATAATCGATAACTTACTCCGTTTTCCAAGCAATCGATATCGATATCCTGTTTTTTGGGAAATTTTGGTAAATAATAAGAGCTAGAGTCCCCAAACTTGACATGTAGCTTCTAAGATAGAATATATATATGCATTTGATGTTGGAAGAAGAGGGTTCAGGGTATCCCCTAGTCGGGAGCTCCCGACTAGAACCTTTTACTGGTTTACTCTTGTACGCATGTCTGCTATATGGTTAGGTGCTTGGAGACTGGTTCATGGTTCCGGCATCCGGTTAGCAATCAGACCTGGTCCAACTATACCAACTGTGTGGACTATGAGGATTTTCAGGTTAGTCACCGTGCATCCATATCAAAGCCGTTCTCAAGGTTGATTTGCTTTGCAGTTTCGGCAATTTGTGAACGAGCTGTATGTGAAGGGCTATGCACTGTCGCTTCTGGCGCTGTTCATATCGATTGTCATATTTCTCGGCTTTAAGTACGTACGAGCTGGGCAAGTAGCCAGGCTAGCGTATGATGCTGATGCTGATGCTCTATCCTACAGATCCTTGCGCTGCACTCGCATCAGGATACATGTGCATCTGTTTGCATCCCTGGCCTGCACATGCATCGCCTGGATACTCTGGTACCGTCTGGTCGTTGAGCATACCGAGCAAATAGCCGAGAATCCGGTAAGTAGCCACAGCTGATGCTCATCCCATTATCCTTATACAATAATGCTTTAATTTCATGTTTTACAGCCCTGGTGCATTGCACTCCACTTGGTGGTGCATTATTTTATGCTTGTCAACTACTTTTGGATGTTCTGCGAGGGTTTGCATCTGCACTTGGTTCTGGTTGTGGTATGTCTTGGATGGAGCCTGGCTTGGGGCCTGCCTCTTCCTTTACTTTTCCATTTTCCATCCATTCACATGCAAATCGCTGTAATTGCTGCACAAGTTTGCATAGTTTACGAGCAACTGCTGTGAATTCCTGATGAGATTTGCAGCCGCCTCAATTTATGTGAAAGCATCTCTCAAGCATTTTCCTTTCTTTTTTTTTTTATTTTTACGATTTGCAACTGTTCCGCCATCGTCATCAAATTGAAATTGCAAATGTCAAGTGCCATCGGGAATTTGTATTATATGCCCTCTCGAGCAGATCCTATATGAAATATTGTTCGAATTTCGTTTTTTATTAAACCTAATTAAAACTGAGAACAACTAGTTAAGGTGCATTCATTAAAGTTCCATTAATCAAAGTTTTCATCGAAACTGGATTCGCTTGAAACTGAATCAGACTTTTCACATTTTACCATAATCAGATTTTGCTTGGAACCCGTTTCACATGGGTAGTTCTTTTATGTTTCTCACCAAATATAATTACTTGTTTGTTCGCTTTGATAGAGATTCATTTTTCCTTAAACCTAATTAAAACTGCAAACAATTATATTTTGTATGAAATTGGCTCAGACTTACCTGAAAATGTTAATTATTCACATTGAATCATAATCGGATTCCACACAAATAGTTCTTTCAATAGAAGCCCTTCCATTTCTCAGCGAATATAATTACTATACTTTTTTCCCACTTAAGCTTTAGGTAACACCGTATTGTAGGGTATTCATTATTCTACTGACCAAAATAAGCTTTCATTGACTAATGCAGTTGTCTTGCAGGTCTTTGTCAAGGACACGATTGTGATGCGCTGGTTCAAGCTGCTCAGCTGGCTGTTACCTCTCCTGTTTGTACTACCCTATGGCGTTGCCAGACATTTCAGTGCCAACGACAATGCTCAGTAAGTAATGATGACTAGGGCTTATTCAGATCAGATATACGAAAGCATATGTAGACTGAAAATGCGGGTGAAGTTTTATCCGAAGTTCCACATGAAATCTTAAACAATAGGCATTCAGCTATTTACGAAAATTTCACACTTAACTGTGGAAAACTAGTGGAAAGTGAACACAATATATATTTTTTCCGAACATTTAAAGCATATATGGGCATATTCCAAAAACTAAAAATGGCTGTTGAAGGGTTTTTATACGTTTTAAGCAAGTTTTTCAAACGAACTAAGTAAAACCTTAACAAAATGCATTTAGTGATATTCGAGATTCCACACTGAATTGTGGAATATTAGCGGAAAACGTTTGTATTACATTTTAATGTACTTCAAATTGGGTATTAATTCTAATGTTGACTTATTCAAATGCTCAAACTTACTTTTCCAGCAGTGTCTTAATTGAAATAAAGTTTAACTTTAAGATTTCATATAGTACATGAGTTGCCCACATCTCGAAGATGTAATTAGTCTTTAGCTAGAAAATTTACAACTTGCTCTAATATTATGGATACTAAGAACGCATCAAATTTTAGTAAAAGAATTAAAGTAAAATATTGTTGATACTGCTTTCACAGCTGCTGGATGAATGACAGTTTCTACTTGTGGATCTTCTCGGTGCCCATTACCCTCTCGCTGCTGGCCAGTTTCAGTAAGTATTAACTGACATTTACGACTATCTATCAACATGCTAGCCAACTCTTTCTTTTTAGTCTTTCTTATCAACGTGCTGCGGGTGATTGTGCGCAAGTTGCATCCACAATCGGCACAGCCAGCACCGCTGGCCATACGCAAGGCGGTGCGTGCCACAATTATTTTGGTGCCACTTTTCGGGCTGCAGCACTTTCTGCTGCCCTATAGACCCGACGCTGGCACCCAGCTGGATCGATTCTATCAGCTGTTGTCGGTGGTGCTGGTCAGCCTGCAGGGCTTCGTTGTCTCATTTCTGTTCTGTTTCGCCAATCATGATGTGACCTTTGCCATGCGTACTCTGTTGAACAAGTTGATGCCCACCTTGGTTGCACCGCCGCCGGCCGGGAGTAATACTGGACAATTGGCAACAACCACGCCGAGTCGCGAGCTGGGCGTCTAAACAAAGGCACTGCACCGTGCAGACCCTGGAAATGGCCCAGCTGCGCTTCTAAGTACCAACACGTTAGACCAGTGAGATCCAAGGCGATGCCGCTTGGCGCATGCTGAACTCCAGATGGTATTGCAGGCATATCAACATTAGAACGGCAACCACAGATTGTTTGTACTTAATGTCTTGTCTATTATCCATATAAATGTAGCTATACCCATTGTTTTCCTAATTTTATTCTAGCAGTAGTACATTTTTTTTTAATAGATTTTCCAAAACTTAGAGATTCACGAAAATTCGCATACGTACTCCATGTACCTACATGACAAATGTTTGTGCCAACAAAGATTGCAAAATATATATACACAATATAAAAGCTATATATATTTATACACATATAATCGAGTGTTATTTAAACATATTTATATATATTTGTCTATTATCAGCAGGCATGTTCCAAAATCCATTACGTATTTCCTTCGGGTTCCTTTTGAAGGGCAACCGGCTCCCAAAAGCATGCTATAAAAATTTGATTTCTCTGTAATGTGCATTTTTGGAACATGCAGATACAGCATGTTAATTGTATTTATTTATTATAATACTTACATATTTACTCAATCAAGATACAAATTTTAAAAGTATTTACTGGAAATAAACGATGTTATCAGCAAATCAAAAGCGTTTTCCTTGATAGATCGTTAAAATATATAACAAAGTTAAAGAAAAACTATTACATTGCTGAAAATCTCAAGGTGAGATTGTGGGGAATATCAGACTGTGAGGAAGAGCAGCATGTGGGTACAAAGACGGAATAGTCTAGAGAGAGAAAGGGAGACAGAGAGAAGGGGAGTAAAAAAAAGATATTGCACAAGGTCCAATACATACAGAAAGAACGAGAGAGAAAGAGAGGGAGAGATACCCTGCGCAAAACATATGAAACAACTAAGAGAGAGAGATGGCGATATACAGCGCAATATATATGGTATGAGAAAGAGGGAGATATAAGGCGCAATACATTAGAAAGTTCGAGACAGAGAGAGATAGGATGCAGCACGCAATACATATGGAAAGAGCGAGAGAGAGAGAGAGAGAGAGAGAGAGAGAGAGAGAGAGAGAGAGAGAGGGAGAGGGAGAGAGCACAATAGTAAGAGAAGAGAGTGCACGGCTAGGAGATATCCTGATTGTCACGTTGAGGTGCCTTCTGCGAATACTCTTGCGGCAGACTGGGAAAATAGTATTCCTTAAAACATCGGTGCTTATAGTCCGATCGTCAATTGGCAGCGCACAATTATGGTACCCAATTATGGTACACTCGCTATAGAATCGAGCTCTTTTCAAAGTATGCAAGAAATGAAATATTAAAAGTCAATAAATACTTACAATATACACTTCATACGAAGCCTACCAACTATGTTTGATAAAAATTTCTTTAAAAAAAAAAACATTAAATCAAAAACTGACATTTGATTTGAATACAAGAATAACTAAAACTAATTAGCGCTTATTACTTTTTTCTTGCACTTTATTTCACGTCGTTTTTATTTGTGTGCTTGATTTGTGACTTATTCGTTATATTCATACCATCGCTTGCCGGATTTTTGTATAATTTCTGTTTTATTTTCATATTTTTTGTTGATTTTGTTGGTTTTTATTTATGAAAGAGCAAAAGAGTGTGGAACAAAACTAATACATGGTAATACAATAAAATACAAATACAATAATAATTATAATTACAATTAATAATACATACATACATCCATATCAATTATAAGTATGTACGAGTATAGTTAAATTCTTGTAATAAGTTATATAATAATCATATATGCATCTAAATGTGTGTAAATCTTGTAGTTATATCTAATTCTTGTTGATCTTCGCCACGTGGCGATTCATCTGTATTCGGTATATCCAATTTGATCTAAGTATGCAAAAAATGTTTCATAATCCTCACATGTTCCCAATCATGTTGCAGTTGCCACAAAAATGCATCATGTTAACCCACTAGCATAGAGCTCTATGTATATACAAATATGCCTAATTGTAGATGTAGTACGTATGGCTTGATTATAGCACTTGAATACTTAAGATCTCTTTATAGGGCTTACATTAGCTGTTTAATTTGTTCAGGCTTGGGGGCTTCTTTTGGATACTTGATGTTTTAGTCATTCAAAGCAGAGACAAATGTGGAACCACTCCAATACATGTAGAGGCATGGATCAGACAATTTTAAATGCCAAGCACAATACAATATAATATAAGATAATGTAACTATAATATAATATAAATATGTTGAAAGTTTTTGGTAAGTTTGGTAAGTTGGTTAAGATGTGGTTAACTAAGTTGAATACAATGCAATAAATATGTAAGTACAAGTTTTGTGGGGTATACAAAGTAATACATATATCTCCATAGACAATCATAAGTAGCATACATAATCAAATAGTTAATAATCGATTGGAGTGTGTGTGTGTGTATGTGTGTGTGTGAGTGGGAGTGTGCCTGTGTGTATGTATATTTGTGTATACCTGTTAGCAATTTCTTATCTCTATCATGTATCTTCTTAATATATATATATATATTGTTTTATTTTTGCTTATTTAACTGATTTCTTGGAGTTTTTTCTCTTTGGTTTGGGCGCGTTCCGTTGACAAAGCGGCTAAGTATATGTTTAGTTTTTTTTATTTTTTTTTTGTCTCTTTACGATCCGATGTTCATTTTGTTTTAGGTTCATCATCAAATTTATTGCAAATTATTAAACATTTTGTTTTCTGCTTTCTTTATGTTAAGTCAATTCTAAGAACATACATTAAAAGTTATAATTAATCACTGCTTAAATTTAAAGTCGAGCATTGAGCTAGCTGCACCACTGTGCGCCTATCTATGCGATTCTCATGGCATGCAGCTAAGGGCTCGCATAGCTTTTGGGCTGTTTAAACCTAGACCGTGTTTATACGCCTCTGCGTGAGCATCGGCATTTGGCTGATTTCACACTCGTTTAGTATTTGTCTAAGTGCTTATTAACTAAATTGAGTTATCGAACAACATCGACTGTTATCGTTATCGCTTGCTGATCAACATCGAATTGCACAACGGAATGCAATCTATCGTAGTTTTCTATTCTGTTTGTTTTCGCATAGCTCTAATGCTGTGTGCTATTAAAATCCACGAAATGTATCTGTATGTATGCGTGTGGGTGTGTGTGTGAGTGTGTGTGTTAGTGTTGTATATCGTGTAAGTGTTGGAAGTTGTTATGGCTTATGCAAGCGTAGCTCACACTTTTGTGCTTCTTGTCGGACCAAATAAGTAGGCATACGCTTCTATATAACTACTTATGTATTACATATATATATATAAATATATGGAGTATATTTATATATATTTTATTTGTTGGTTTTTAAATATGTATAAATTTGTTGAAATTATTTTAAATGCATTTCATGCTTAGTTTATGATTTTCATTGTTATTCGTTCACAAGTTTTTCAGTTGGGTTCAATATTTTGTTGTATTTTGTTGACTGTACTTAAATTTGTGTTTTTCCTATTCCTGTTTTTGCCAGTGTATGTTTAGTGAGTGCTTGTGTCTATTTGGATGTACCTTATCGCTCCCCATTCGACTGTTTTTTCTGCAACTTAAACATCTTCCTTGTCTTCTTCTCTTTTCTTCGCCTTCTTCTTCTACTTCGTCGTCTTCTTCTTCATCTTCTCAGCCTTTAAATGTACTAATATTCTTTAGCTATATTTAGGTAATTGTATAGCATACACTTATGTGTGCACACTGTGAGTTCTGTGACCGAGTTGCTGACCTTTGAATTTATACAAATGCGCACCTCTAGGCATAGGGTTTTCAGAAAAAAACGAGATTTGTTGGTCTGAAAAATGGTTATTAGACCAGGCAAGTACTTAAACACCGCAAGTTTGGCAATATTTTGAAGATGTGCACTCTGAAGCAATACGGACTAGTTATATGTTGCCAAGGACTGCATATTTTAGAAAAAAATGTGATTCTTAAATCGGAAAAATCGTGAAATCTCTCTTTTAGTTTGTTCTTTAATAAAAACGGAAAACTTTAAATATTGTACTAGAGAAATACTGAAGCTCTTCAATTATCGATCCGAAGAAATATTTAAGGCTCATTTCCAAGGCATTTCGGATTTCGTTCTCTGTCTGAAAGAAAATGCTGAGCATTTGCATTCGACGAAAATAATACCCAAAAGAAACAATGGTAAAAATTACTGAAATTGTGCAAATGTAATTTTCCAAATGATGCAAAAGACATTTCTTGCTTTAACAAATAAAAAGATATCAGGTATTTTGAAGAGCTTTTTGAATATTTTAATGAAATGCATTCTGAAGCATCTAGGCTGACTATCTTGGCTTGGCTTTTGGCTGCAGCCAACTCGAGTCACATCTTAATATTGCTTTCTTGAATAATGACACACAGCCGTGTGGTGTATGGGCCCCAGTTTGGGACCAGCACCTGGCTTATGTGATGGATATTATATTTATTTATGTGTTTATTTATTATTATTTTTGTTTTTTATTTTGTTATTAAATGTAATTAAATCCATTAAGTTCATTGACTTGCTTACACACACACATGCACAATAAGTGAGTATGTATATGTTTAAATTGTCCATAATATTTTTATTTTTTTTCATTTTTCTTGTCGTTTTCTTGGTTATTTTCTATATAGATTCCACTGGCAAGACAAACACATGAACGAACGAACCGGAACTTAAAAACGAACCAATAAATAAAACAAGAGAACAATTAATTTTTGAAATTTCTATATGTACGAGTACACACACACTTGCTACATATACACATAAGTGAGTAGTTCTTCTTTTTACTTTTTTTGTTTTTATTGAATATCGAATACCGTATATCGCGAGCTTTGAGTATTTATGTGCTGCACCCATCTGTTAAGTCTGCTGGGTTTAGTTTTTCGATCCAAAGAGCTCGCTCCTTGACGGGCACATTTGGCGAACTTTTTGGTTGTGTGGCTTGGATATTGGATTAAGTGTTTCTCCGATCTTTGGTATTTTTTGAATGTATTTCACATTGTTTTCACTTTAATGCCTTTGGTTAGTTTGACATGTATATATATATATATATGTGTATGTATATATATATAATATAATGCATGCATGTATATATACTTATTACTCAATATAATAATCAATTTTACTATAAATCTTTGTTTAAAAAATTTTACATCATTATAGACATATATAAGTATATATATATATATATGTACTTGGTGTTTTCAATTTACTGCCACAACTTTTTGTTCTCGCCTCGCTTGAGTTTTACTTGAACTACGTTATTTTTCATCTCTTTTTTTTTCAGAGTGCCCGCTTGCCATGTAGATGTGGCCGTACTTTAAGCACTATTTCGAAAAAAAAGTCTCATTTTAAAAATTGTTTTTGCATTTTTGTTAAATATTTTCATTTTTAGTTTGCTAATTTCTACTGACACACACACATACACACACACACACATTGATTGAAGCGCTACTGAGTACGGGGGAAAAGAACGAGGGAGCATCTATGCAGTAGGCTCACATCTTAAATTTAGTATACTTTGTCGTACGTATGTTAGCTATCTTGTTAGTTAGTTTTGAATGCATTTTCTTACACTTCGAAAACCAGTGTTATAAAACGTATGCATTATTTACTTTGTTTGTTTGACCATTGAAACAAGTTTCAATATTCTCTATTTTTGTTTTAAAATGCGAGTGCTGTTGTTGTATTTTTTGTTTTTAATATGTGTTTTATATGTATGTGTATAACTTGTGGGGGTGTACGTGACCAGGCCGAGCAAATTTCGAGCTGCGGAGGCAATGTTGCCACATTTCAGTTACTTGTTTGTAGCATTTGCAGAGTTGTATTCGAGAAAAGCAAAAACATTGCTTGAAAAAATAAATGGATAGCGGTAAGAAATGAACAAGCAAAAAACGACACACAAAAATGCGCTACAACATTGCCAGTTTTCAGTGCAGCGTTGCGAAATTTCATAGCTGTGCGCCGTTGCCAATTTTCAGCCCAAATAAGTGCACCAGCAATAGCTGTTTCTTTCATTTGTTTTCTGATCTGATCAATCAATCAATCAATGTGTCAATCGATCAGTCAATGCGCAACGTTGCAAATTTTCAGTTGTAAGTGTTTCTGTTTTGTCTTTTGTTCTGATTGTTGTGTTTGCAAAAAAAGAAAACAAATTTTGTGTTTTGGTTTTTGGTTTTTTCTTTGTCGTTCTTTTCGCACAGTTTTTGAATAAGTCACACATTTATTTTATAATAAATATATATATGTATATGTATATATATATATATATATATATATATATATATATATATATATATATATATATATATATATTATTATTATTGTTTACTTTTTTTATGTTGTTTTAGTTTTGTTGACGTTTTGTGTTTTTTTGGTTTTGGTTTTTGGTTTTATTTGTAAGATATAATTATAAAAATGGAATAATAAGTAGGCATAATAATATAATGTAATATAATATAATAAGTTTTCTTGGTTTCTTTACGTTGCGTTTGCACATACAATATTGAATATACTTTGGTTTTTTTGTTTTGGTTTTTCTCATTTTAAGTTAGACGACGACGAAAAAAAATAAGATTAAAACGATTACATATATATAATAATAAGAATGGTTATAAGTATGTATGATGTATGCATGATGTACGATGTACGATGTATGATGTATCGATATTTTGTTGCTGTTGTTGCGTTTCGCGATCGCAATTGATCGGCTTGTACGCGGCTTTTCGGGGGTAGATTTTCTCAAATCAATGCGAATCGAATTGAATCAAATTGAATAGAAGCTTTTAAGTACATATTATAACATTAGTTTAAGTGAATGTAATTAATTGATTAATTAAGTTTAATTAAGTTATGCAAAACGAACACAATACAAATACAAATACAATATAGCATTTAAAGCAGCACATATAGGCTTGATTATACTATATGTACCTAGGTATTCAGAATAAATTCTTTAAAAATTATCATTCTCTTTATATGCGTGTATTTTAATTATATTTGGTTTTCATTTTCTTCATATATGTATATATATATATATATATATATCTATATATATGTGTATATATATAAATATATATACATAAATACTTTTTTTTTGGTTTGCTTTTTCTTTTAGTTGCTTAGTTAAATGAATAAACATTAAATAATTTAGTTACGTAATTTTAATATTCAATTTAGTTAAATATATAAAAAAAAAAAAATTTCAGTTAATTTAAGTATTTTTGTTTTCATTAATTTGATGCATTTCGCTTAGTCAATCTAAAGAGACGTCGTCTCTTGTTTATGCTTTTTGTATTTGTTGCCTCTTTTAAGCTTTGTTTTAGGTATTATTTTTTTAAAGGTATTTATTTTTTGTTTTTAGTATGTTTGTGGTATTTTTTGTTTTTTGTTTTTTTTTTTGTTGTTTGTTGTTTGTTCAATAAACTTAAATTGGTTAAATGATGTAAGTGCTGCGTGTAATTTCCCACAAAAGTAAACATAATAGAATATTTAAATTTTCGCTAAGATTTCATTAATCATTATCAATCAATCAATCAATCATAATAATTTCGTTTAGCATACAAATCAATATAGGTAAAAGCACACACACACACACACACACAGAGTGTGTGTGTTATGGTATGTGTGTGCATTTCAATTATGACTACAACTCGCTGTCAAATGCCATAGTTACTTTCCTTCATCATATTTTTGTGCTATATATATTATACTCGTTCATCGCATAGAGTGAAAGGGAGATTCGATCCAAAAATAATAGATACATTCAGTTTGGTTGTTTCACGAACAGAAATTGGTTGGCTGTCCAGAGATTGCCCTTAAGTAGTTTTGGTTTTGTTTGTCTTAAAGCTAACCTGCAGCACCCGATTGCCCAGTGTATAGCCGTTCAGCGATTGTATGGCCACCACAGCCTCATCGTAGTTGGTCATTGTAACGAATCCGAATCCCTTGCATTTGCTGGTCTGCAGATCGCGTATTACCTTAACCGATTGCACAGCCCCAAACGGGCCAAATAGCTGCCACAGCACATTCTCTTCAGTCTCTGGCGCCAGATTGTAAACGAATATACACCAGCCGGATCCGGTCATTGCATTGCCCGGCAATATCGAATTGGCCAATAGATCACCAGCCAGCGGTGAGTATCTGTTCAGTTCAATAACATGTGATTTGTGATTTCCGATGGAGAGAATTCAAATAGATTAGTAACACACATTTAGTTAATTGATTAGTTAACAATAGGAGTAAAGTACTTGAGATTGTATTCTTTGTTCGATATATATATATATATATATATGATATATATATATATATATCCACAACAAAACGTGTCGTTCCCTCCTGGAGTATAACACTTAGGAAACTATAAAACGCTATGCTGGGTATGCATAAGTATAAAAGATTTTGAATTTGGCTTTGTTTTTTATTTTCATATATACCCTTACAGTTTATTGAGGCGATGGATGGGCAATATCTGTACCTGATAAAACTGTGTCTAACTGATCTATATTCCCTTATAATTTAATTAGACACCCTTTTTTATGATTTATACTCAAATTTGAAGTATTGAAGCACATTACTGTGTTACTCAAATCTATTCAAAATTGGATTAACTTTTTATTTAATTAGTTTCAAAAATTTGCTACGTCTTGGAGGTCTTTTGGTTAATACTTAAAAAAATCAGACTGTTATTATTTTAATATATATTATATATGGCAAACAGACCCAAAAGCTCGCAGATTTCTCTTCTGGAACAGAATTATAAAAAAATTATGCATTTAATTAAAGATTAGATCTATTTGAAGAAAATCTCAACAATTTAACTTTTATGCAAAATAAAAAATTAATGAAGAAAAAATTCTCTCTCTTTTTCTCTCTCTCTCTCTCTCTCTCTCACTTTTGCTCTCTTGACTATCCCATAACCGAAGACGACTGCATCCTCGAGCTGCTCAGTCTGCAAGGGTATTTGGAAATCGGCATGCCGCATTTGCAACAACTTTTCTGGTTTATAATATCATGTGACATGCTTTCATAGTAATTTTGCTGGCCACTATTACACTGTGCTGCAAAAATTTTCATTTTTATGGCATTTTTCTATTCACATAATGCTCCATAGCCCAATTGATTGTTCGGTTAAAAGCACAAGCATGTAATTGTCGCTGGTTTGGTACAAAAAAAAGAAAAACAAAAACAAAACAAAAACAAATAATATAGAAAATATATATATATATATATACGTATATATAAGCAGACTTTCGAAAGGAATGTTAGTTGTTAACATATAACGTATACACAGTGATTAATTAGACTCTAAAATCATATGGGCAGAGGAAATCAAAAGAGTTGAGAATTGATGCATGCGCTGTAACAGAACGGAATGAATCGAAACGTGGCAACAAACACAAGAAGCCGTCATGTGAATGCTAGCTAAGTAATTGAAAGGATATTGTTGAAAGGATATTAAAAAAGTTACGTTAAAGAGTTGTACTTGAAATCATAGGGTATCGGGTATTCGGGTATTATGTAGAACAATTACACACAAACATTAAAGCTAAACATTTAGTATTACAAATTGTATTTCTTTTCTTTTTATAGTAAATCAAAAAAGTAAAACAGCAATCAATATATATGTGTGTGTGTCTCTGTGTCTCTCTCTGTGTGTGTGTGTGTGTGTGAAATGAATAAGTCGAAAAATTCACCTTTGCAAACCCTTGTTAATCGCTAACATGGGACTTTTTCCAATGCTAAAAATGATGAGAAATTTGTTGTTGTCAAAGAAAAAAGAAAACCGAAATATGCCACATAAGAGGTAGTTAAATTAGAAACAAAGTCATGTAAAAGTTATGTTAAATCGATAAGAATATTAAATGAAATTATAATAATATATAAATATTTGTTACGTATGCTCAAATAATATATGTTAACCAAATTGATTTCTAGTTTCTAATTCATTTTTCCAATAATTAAACGCTGCAACCGACTTTGTGGGCGGCAATTTCTTTTGATCCCACACGGACACGGATCGCCCAGATTCCAGCGAACGCATCGGACTCTGTTTTCATTATACATATATATATATATTTATATCTGTACATATATATATATATATATATATATATATATTTGTAAGCATATTGTATAAGCATAGTGAATGGTATATGGCCCCGATCTAACAAATGCTGCATAGGTTTTGAATGGATGCTACGCACCTGATACGTCCGGCGGATGGTAGGGCGCCGGCCAGGCGGCGGGTGGCCGCTGCTGCTTGGGGCGTCAAGTAGGCGGTTAGGGGTGGGGCGATTTGGGCCTTGGCGCTATTGCTTGGATTGTTGGCGAATTTGACGGTTATCGGTTCGGCATAGCCCTTGGGGGTTTTACCGTTTAGCTCCTGAATGGCGCGTTCGGCTTCGTTGCGTTGATCAAAACGTATAAAACCGACACCCTTCGATAGACCTGCGGATCGATTTCGTTATCGTTATCGTTATCGATAATTGCTCATGCAAAAAATTACCAGAAATATTATCACAGAGTATACGAGATGTTATTATTTTGCCAAACGACGCAAACATCCCCTCCAAGTCTGGTTGTGATAGATTTTTCGGAAGACCCGATACATATAAATTAGCACCCTTTATAGATTCTGAGCTTGGACGGGCGTATGATACTTTAATAACCTTATTCTGCAAACGCAAGCCGTTCAGGGTGTTCACAGCCTTCTCAGCATCCTCGGCGCGCACATAGTTAACGAATCCATAGCCCAGGCTCTGACCTACAAACGAGTGTTAATATAAAACTGAACGAAAAAAAATATCTATAAATACACTTACCCTGCTGCAGAGCCGGATTGAGTGCGGTCAATGATGCTGGCAAGACTGTAAAATGAATTTATCAAGTTCGACATGTTATTTAAAATAATGTTAACGATTATGTTAAGCTGTGCATGCTAAATATGATAAGTCACTCAAGTTTATAACTGAAATTATTCGCTGATGTTACAGAACTTCTGTATACTCATTCAATAAACTTTCCACTTAACAGATGTCTAACATAATACTCGCATGTTAGTTACAGTGCGTTTTTCAGCTACAGCCATGTTAATAGTTTTACACTCCTTAACAGCTGTTAACCTTATTCATATATGATATCAGTTAGACATAGCACTAACGGCTTTGCCCGTGCCAAGCTATTTTCCTCAAATTGTAGACATTGCTCTCCTATTCAATCCTTTTTAAATAGTTTACATAGGACTTGTAAAAACGTGGAAAAAAAGGAGCCTTAGCTAAAAGGCTTAAGAATCCCAAGATGTAACATCCGTAATTCCCTAGAAACCTTTTCCCATTTTGCAAATATGATGGTATATGAAAGTATGACTTAGTCTAACCGAAGCACACAACTCAAAGAAGCGTGATCATGATTTCCTTCGCAATATTTTGATGATCTATAATTTGAGTTGCAAAGATGAAAATGTTTATAATGAACAGCGACGCTATTATAAATCTTATCTTAAATACATCTTAACTCAAAGGCAAACAGAATATGATTATAGAAGGTAAATCAGCGACAAGTGCCTTGTAAATTTACCATGAACATGGTAAAATGGCACAAGTAATGATATATATATATATATTTAAAACAAAGTTATGCATGCTCTACGATAAAGTTAAAAACTAATTAGGGAAGTTGAATTATTAGAATATTGGTTAATATTTACCCAAATTACCTGAGACTTTATCACGCACCAGTTTGCAACTCTCCAACTCACCAATGCTTGAGAAGAGCGATCGCATCTCCTCTTGCGTCATGGTTTGTGGCAGATAGTTGACTATCAAATTGGTACGCGACTCATCATTGCTGCCATCCACGGAGCCATTTGCGCTCCCATTCTTCACAATATCCATTGCGTTGGTCATGTTCTCGTCGCTGTTGCTGTTGCCGTTACTGTTAATGTTGCTTTCGCTCTTGCTGTCGCTGGTGCTGTCGCTCTTTCTGTCTTTCTCTTTGCTGTCTCCGGTGCTGTTAATGTTGCAGTCGCTGTTAATGTTGCTGCTGTTAATGTTGCTGTCGCTGATGATATTGTTGTCCGTGGTGCTGTTAATGTTGCTGGCTATGTTGATGATTTTGTTGCTGTTAATGTTAATGTTGCTGTCGCTGATGTTGTTGCTGTCGCTGTTGCTTTCGCTGTTGCTCTCAATCTTGCTGGTAGAGTTGGCGTTGCTGTCAATGTTGCTGTTCGTGGTGCTGTTAATGTTGCTGTTAGCGTTGCTGTTAATGTTCTTGTCGCTGTTGCTGTAACTGTAACTGTTACACTGCTCAATTTCTGCGCTTGGCTATACTCGGTATTTGCTGTTGGTTGGTTGTTTGCTTGCTTGTGCTTAGTATATAATCTCACTGCTTGTTTTGTTACGCTTAGAATATATGTACTTATTTCTTGGTATTTTTTATTTTTTTTAGTATTATTTATAAAGAGCTTTGACTGCGCTTTGCACAAGTCCCGTGAAGTTGTTTGTCGCAAGGTTTTTGTTTATATTTCTGCGAATTGTTGTTGTTTGTTTATGACGTTTGTCTGTTTTTTTTTTTTTTTGTTTTTGGGTTTTTAGATCAACTACGATCGCAAAAAAAAATAGTATTTTATTTAGCTTAAGTTCATTTGTTTTTGTTTTTTGTCTTAAACCGTTCTTTGGCTTTGCTTAAAGTTTAAAATTTAATTTAAATTTGAAGTAATTTGTTTTCTTTTTAATTTTTTGCTTTAGTTATTTTTAGATAAAAGAGTAAATTTTGCTAATGGTTTTGGTATTTCTTTTTTGTTTTTACTTTATCCGTTTTGCTTCGCTCAACTGTTTGCCTCTTGAGTATTTGAGTTAATTTTGTTCGCTTTTATTTATATTTATTTATTTTGTTATAAGTATATATATAAAATTGCAAAAATGCAAAAAGATAGCAATAAATTGTTTGTTTTTGTTTTTTTTTTCTTTGTTTTCTTTTATTTTACTTTTACTAATTTGCGCTTCTTCCGTTTTGTTTTGTTTTTGTTGTTGGAACTTAGTTGTGTTTATAAGAAATATACATACATATATAATATGGTATATGTATTTATTATAATGTTGTTATACGTTTAAATATGATTATTCGTTATATTTGTTGTTGTTCTTCTTCTTCTTCTTATTCTTGTTATTGTTGTTTTGTTATGTTAATAGTTGTTGGTTTTGTTTGGTGGTGTTTGGTTTTTCGCTTTGCTTCGGTTGCAGTTTAAAAATCGTTCTCATCGATTGATTATACTCTTCCTCCTGTTCTCGCCTGTAACGTGTCTCTGATATATGATAAGCCTCTGTTCGATTGCTCGCTCGTATTTTTACTCAATCTGCAAATAGATAGTACACAAATCAGTCTAAATTATCTCACGCTAATGAGCTTCACAAAAAAAAAGAAAAAAAAAAAGAAGTTCAGTCTGAACCCCCACTGATAAGCGCGTTAAGCAGTCGTGTTGGCCGGGCCCCGACGCAAAGAAAAGTCACCCCCAAAGACATTAGGCTAATGCTCAACCCGATATTTGACATATAGTACCTATAGCACACACACACACACACACACACCCCGGCAGGACCAAAAGCCCGAAATCTGTTTATCATCAAGTTTCTTTCTTCTATTTTTTGCCATTCATCTCTTTTTATTCTCATTGTCAGCTGAAAACTTTGCCTAATGGCTTGGAATTTAATTAAATTGTTTTTTTTTTTTTCTTTTTTGTTGTTGTTGTGTGAAATGCGCAATATGCGAGTGGCTCAGCGGCTCAGCGGTTCGTTGGGACTCGCACCACAGTGGGTAAGTACTCGAAGCATTCGGTGCACGTGCACTTTAGCGCCAGCTTTTGCCATGGCTCAGCGCGTTTTGAAATATGAATACCCTGCACAATGTAGAGCTTCTTAGTTTTGAGAAATGCGTCGAAAGAACTTAAATATTGGAAAAACTTATAGCATCGTTTTAAGTAAAAAGTTAAGCATATCAAACAGAATATGTTTCTTAAGTGAACGCATACTATTTGATTTGCATATAAAAATATAATAATAATAATCATTTTGAATTATTAAAATTGAATCATTTTAATAATCAATCTAAGCATATAATTTGAATACATTTTTGCTAAGCCGCATTTTGTATTCAATCTTCATACGAACTCTTTTAATTATTATTGTTTTTTATTATTATTATTATTAGCATTATTATTATTTTCATTGTTATTATTATTAAATTTATTATTATTATTTTTATATATAATTTACATTAGTGAGAAATGTAAAGATAATTTACAAAGATTTCCAGCTTGAAGATTAAAACAATTAAGAAAGTTAATGAGAATTGTCTTTTGTATTACTTGATATTTTTTAAAAACACATAACATATAAAGTCAAACATAGATTTGACCATATAATTTCTACATCCCTTTTCAAATTTGATGTGGAAAATCGAAAACTTTTAATAGGAATTTTGTAATTGAATAGATTTGTCTTTTTAGAATTATTATTATTTTTTTTTTAGAGTTTGTAGCGTATCATGCAGTCGGTTAGGCTGCAGGCCAAATATATTTGGCATGCAATATGCAATTTAGCAAAAAAAAATCGCAAATCAAATCGCATTCAGTTTGCAACTGACTCCAAGAGGACTGCATGCGATTCCAATTGGAAAGAGCGTGCCTGGTTTGGTCCAATTGGAAGCACATTGAGGGGTTGAAATATATGGACACAGACTGAGAGCAAGCGGCACCAGCGAGGCAGAGAGTGAGAGAGAGAGAGAGAGAGGCCGCTTGGGCAAAAGGCAGAAAAAGGACCCCCGTTTTTAGCTAGCTACGTAGATCCTTGTGTGTGGTTGCGTGTGAGGCTTAGAATATGAAAAGGGACCGCATTGAAAATAGGGTAAAAACCTGACGCGAAAAACAAACAAACGAAGCGGCAAGTCGCGTAACCCGGACACGGGACACGGCACAGGGCACAGGGGACAGGGGACAGAGGACAGGAAACATAGGACATAGAGCACAGGACACAGGCTGCTGGCTTGTGTTGGGCTCAGAATTCGTTATGGGATTTTGCTGGCTTTGGGCTCGTTTCGCCGGGTTCAATGAACCCGTCCGCGTTGCGGCCAGTGTTTTTTGGGTGTTTTTCCATTTTCGGTCTTTACTAGTTTTCGGCTTTGCTCTGAAAAGGCAGCAGATCAATGGGTTGTTGTTATTGTTGCTGTTGCTGTTGCTGTTGCTGTTGTTGTTGCAGCTATTGTGGTTGCTATTCTGTTGCATGTGGCATGTGGCAAGCGTCTGAAACAGCTGTTGCGGCTGCGTTCAATGAACTCAAAGGCGCAGCTTGAAAAGGCCCACACAGGACAACAACAAGAGCCACAACAACAAGATAAAGCTGAATAAGAGGAACGCACACACACACACACACACACGCACACACAGCACTTGAATGGCGAGTGCCAAGCAAAAGGCAAAGCAAAACAAAAACAAAACAAGTCAAAGTCAAAGCCACGAAGAAAAAAAGGAGACAAGCTTAAACAAAGAAAGTGCAGCTATGAAGAGCCCAAAGGTGGGCGAGTGTCGAGAGCTGGGGGGAGGTGTCAAAGGAAGAGCAAAGAGCACACACACACACACACACACGCACACTGGGCGTTTAATTGTGCTGCAACATGACGTGACGCTGCATCTCGGCACCAGCCACTCACCCCCCCTCCCCCCATCAACCCCACCCCATCAGACCACCCGCCAGCCCAGCAACTCCTTCAACAGCCAACCCCAAACGGCCAGCGACCCTGCCAAAGACAACGATGCCGTGTGTGTGCGTGTTTGGGTGTGTGTTTGTGTGTGTGAATTGAATGAGCAGAAAATATAAAAAGAAAGAAGGAAAAATGTGTAATTGACACTTTTGCGCCGATATTTGTGACCTCATTTAAAATGTGTGTCGCACAGCGCCTTGAGGTGGGTCACGGCATGTCTTGGCGTGGCCAAGGGTTTGAAGAGGCCAGCAACAGACAGAGCGAAGAGCAGAAAGAGACAGAAGCAACCAGGCAGACAATAGAAGTTAAAGACGGACAGAAAGAGAGAGAAAGCGCAGAAGACAGTGTGAATGAAGGTTGAGACCAGAGTGTGAAAGCAGAGAAGACAAAGAGCTAAAGAAATGAAGAATTGAAAAGCCGTCGACTTTACTAGGAAGAGAGCGAGAGGCAGCTAAGCAAAAGAAGAAAGAGACAGAAACACACACTCAATTAGCTGAAAAGGAATTACGAAAGATTTAGATAGTGCGAAAGAGAATGAGAGACAGAGAGTCAGGACAGATCAGGCAATTAGAAAAGAGAGCGCAAAAAAGCAGACAGAGAATATGCGAGATATAGAATGAGCGAGAATAAGATAGGCATGAAGAGAGAGAGAGAGAGAGAGAGAGAGAGAGAGAGAGAGAGAGAGAGACAGCTGTATTCGTTGATATGCCTTTGATTATAATTCAATTCTGCCTAACTTTCGCCGGTTAACCCTTTTCTACTTCACTCTCTCACACTCTCTCAGCATCCGATGATCGCAGATTATCCAAAACCACTCTTATGAAAATCCTCCCTCCGATAAGCTCTACAGCTAGCTGTTAGCACAGCCGCAGAAGTTTCATTTGTGTTATTTTTTTTTTTTTTTATACAAATGCCCATTTAACGATTGCTCATGAATTACAGATCTTAGAGCATAGCATTTCTCTGCTGGCAAAACTGTTTTTTTTTTTTTACTGTTTCGCCAAATATTTCACACTGTTTACACTTAAAAAAAAAGCACATGAAAAAAAAAGAAACATAATCACAAACATAACTGTTAGATACTTACAGATTTTTGCCATACAGTCGACACAGACACGTAGAAAAAAAGATAGCAAAAAAAAAAACTTTGACGTCCCGGTGTTTGGGGTGAGCACGAAAATGAAGAAGAAGAAGCAGCAGCAGCAGCAGCAGCAGCAGTAACAATACAACTTTTTGGTTCTATTGATTGCAAGACGTTCGCTCGCTCGCTCGCACACTCTCACGTTGGGCGCCTGGTCTGCAGCTGCTATCTCGTTCTGGCGTATGTCTCCGCCTCGCCCACACACACGCTTGTTGTTGCTGTTGCTGTTGTTGTTGTTGCTGTTGTTGGGGCTTTCGCTGTAGTGTGCTGCGTGGTTGTTGTTGCTCTTGTGGTTTCTCTGCAGACACAGTTTAAATGTGGCTTAGCTTTTGCACAGTGTAACAAAAAGCGAAAAAAATGAACAAATTTGACTAGGACAGTTGAACACAATCGATGCGTTGTTGTTGTTGTTGTTGTTGCAGTTGTTGTTGTTGTTGTTGTAGTTGTTGCTGCTGCTTAACAACTTAGCTCGGCTTTTAAATGGGTTTAAAGTATTGCAATTTATGGGGCCCGACACGAGTGTTAAAAGCGAAACGTAACGAAACGAAAGTTGCGATAGTTGGAGTACATATATAAATCTATATACCTATATATGTATGCACATATATATACATAAATTATATATGATATATCATCTGGTATATTGCACAGAGAGTCATGCACAGTTATTGCGATTGCAGTTGCAGTTGTTGTTGTTACTGTTGTTGCTGTTGTGTCTGTGTTTCTTTGACTATTATTATTAGATATAGTTTGTTTTAGTTTTAGTTTTTGTTTTGTTTGTTTTTTTTTTTTTTTTAGTTGGAAAAAACCGAGAACACAACAAATTCGTAACTGAATACAACACAAAAACTGGTGCAGAGGAGTCAAAAAATTATAAATGAATGTTCTCGAATGAGAAACACAACCGAATGGAATCAAAACCGAACGAAAGCAACGAACGAACACGTACGACTGAACAGAAAGCAGGCGCCGCCGGTCGCGACTCGTATCCTGCGTATCCTTTAACGACGCCCCACACCACGCACACACACACACACACACACGCACAGAATGAGAGCGACAGAGAGAAAGAGTGCCAGAGCTTAAGCAACCACCCGGCGAGCGAGGCATTCCAGTTCGCGCCATCTCGCTCTGCCCCGCACAACGCTTAGCGCCAGCCGGCTGTGGTACACACCCTTTTGCGCAAGCGAACTAGCCATACAAAAGCGTGCGCTCTCGCTCGCATGCAGTGTCTTGCATAAGAGAGAAAGAGAGAGAGAATGAGAGAAAGAGAGTAGGAGTATGTGTGTGTGCCCAGCAGAGTGGGTGGTTGAGGCTGAGGGGCTTTGAAACAGGAGGTTGGGTGATTTTGTGACATGCAAGATATGCAAGTGTATACACACACACACACACACACACACATACAATCTATATGTATGTATATATAGACGAAAATCGTAGATGGAGGCTATATACTTTGATATGCAAAGCAGATTAAGTACCATCTGGCGCTCATCAAGTGGAAGAAGCTTTCTAAATGCCACTTTCAACATGAATGTAAACAGCTCTTCGCATATTACCTTAAGTCCAGGCGTCTAGCTAATTAAATTGACCTGCGAGATCGAAATTAATTGAAATAACGAGATCAGCAAGAGACAAAGAAGTTTCAGAATATTTTAACCTTACATAAGATAACTATTGCTCAAAACTATTGAGGAAACTTTAGCTTCCAAGCCATTTGGCTAGTTGCATTTCTTAGTAGAGTAAGATGTACATATACTCGGATCTTAGTTAGAGAAAATCTAATTCTTATTAGAGTGTCGTTCATTTTTATACCTTGTAGAAAACCTATGGGTAGCCTTATGCTATACATATAGGGTAGTCCGATTTAGTTATGATCTTAATAAGGCAGTTTTGTGTATTTTTGTGTATTTTCCAACCAACTCTATACTCAACCGATTCTTCCTATAAAAGCTTTATGAAATAAATATGCCAACTACCCTGGAAAAAGAGCATATGTAAAATGAACTAGTATTGGGGGAGCTCGGCTTTTTTTTTTGACCCGATAAAACCCATTATATGGCCAAACATATGTTTGAGAAGTATCAGTATATTTCCAATTAGGTTCCGCATTAGGACCTAATGGAATATATTAAGGCCTTATGGAAATACTACTTTAAGATTGGAGTATAAATTATAATCAGGTTTCAATTAAGAATTCGAAAAATCAACACAATTTCAGAAATACGCGTAATATGTTCCCACGTTTTTCTAGCATTCATATGTAGAGTACAAAAAAAAAAAACACTTCTCGGAAAATTCAATTTCATATATTTACATCTATATCTATATATAGTTATAGATGCCTACGTGTCTCGATTATAGCTTGACTATAAAAAGGAAAAAAAAAATAGAAAGAAAGAGAAGTTGGACACAACCCCTGCTCAAATATCCGATGTTCTCCGACATAACACGCAATAAGGATACGCACGCACAGCTACTAAGAAAGAGTGAGCGAGCGCAATAGAGAGAGAGAGAGAGAGAGAGAGAGAGAGAGAGAGAGAGAGAGAGAGAGAGAGAGAGAGAGAGAGAGAGCGAGAGCGAGAGGGAGAGGGAGAGAGAGAGGATGTTTTGCCGGCTGCCGGTTGTCTGCGCTTTCTACGCTTTTTTTTTTTTGTTTTTTTTGCCCGGCTCAGAGAGCGGCAAACAGCACCTTGCAGCAGCAGTCTATTAATCAGAGCCACATACAAAGACACTTGCCACACACACACACACACACAGGCTCTCTCTCTCACACACACACACACACAGTTGTCTTCCTTCTGATAAATAATACAATTTCAACGTTTTGGGTTGACAACACCAAAGATGAGTTGGTTGGAGCAGAAGTTGCCAGCGGGGGCCAAGCTGGGCGAGCGGAAGGGGGTTGAACGCAGTCAACCTAAACATCAGAGTCGGTCGCTTTTGGTGGTTAGGAATTCTGGATGGTTTTGGGTGGTTCTGGGTGGTTTTGGGTGGTTGCTGTGCTTCTTGAGTGGCAACCGTTTGCATTTCTTTAACATTCCATTTCCCATCCCCCTTGTTTGTATACACATATATGCATATATATTTTCTTTTTTTGCTCCCAACTCCCCATTGCTTTGCAATTTAAAGTGTTTCTTATTATTCGCATAGGCTCTTCAAGATAATTCCGTTTATCTTCTGACCCAATTCGTTTAATTTGGCTTTGGGGTGGTTTCTTGCCCAGCTTCTTGTGCCCTGCGGCGCAGCCATGAGTATTCAGTGTCAAGTTGTTGCACGCCATTTAAGGCTCGTTTTCCGAATAACCATTCGCAAAGGGTGGCTATTGATAAAAGATACCGAATACTTGGGAATTCTTTCCAAGGGTCATATTATTCGTTGAGCAGCGTTCCTTCGAATTCTTTTGAGACCTTGGCTTAAAGCATTTCAGACACAATCAAGTGTGCTTAAGATGTGTAAAAACCTATTAATGTGCTGCCTTGATTACGAAGAATCTAAGTTTGGGTCAAATTAAGTAATTGTAATAAAAGATCCGTAATTTATAAAAGCTTGAAAGTAAGTTTGAAGAGCGTGGATCCCTATTTTCTGGGTAAATAAGTTCACTCTCTAGTCCATCCTTCCGTTGCAGGCAGTATAAATGTCGGATCAGGACGGATTGGAGCACTATATCATATAGCTGACATAGGCACGATCGGTCGAGAAGTAGATCGGAGAACTATACATGGCAAACTATTTTGTTTTTCAAGTTATCTTCGTCAAACTCTGCATTTACGAAATTGAAGATCCTTTGTTGAATTCTCAAAAATTCTAAGTTGTGACTCAAAAGAAAATCTACAGAACTTATGGTACATTATATGTGATTTGCAAAGGAAATAATTTTGTAAGCCATATAAAATGAAATACAAAATAAATATCAAATAATTTATTTAAATTCAATTTTAATGCAACAAAAAAATGTATTAATTGAGTTCTTGCTTCTTATGTATTTATAAATAGATTTTCACTTACTTTGGGTGGAGCTCTAATGGAATACCCCTAATTCAAATGAAGCGTTGAGTGTTTTTTTTTTCAACAACAATTTACAAGCTACAATTTTCCATATAACACGACACATTTCAAAGAAAACAAAACACAAAACAGGTCTAAGCCCTGTTCCGACTGCCTTGAGGCTGGCAACAACCCTTTCTTTTTTTTATTTTCTATTCCCGGCACTATATCAGAAATATGGCCATATGTCTTCATTTTCCCAACTTTACAGCGCACATGTGTGTGTCAAAATGCCAGAATGTTTTACATTATTTTCAAGTTTTGACAGCAACAACAACAACAAGAGCTAAAAGGGATCGCTTGAAAGTAGAAGAAAAACCAGTGTTGCAAAACTGGTTGTAACTCTGGTTAACTCGTTTGTTGTTGCCTTACAAAGGGAACCAGAACAAATCCATTTGCATTTCGAGAGAGAGCCAAAGTTGGCAAATGTAACACTTTCCACCACCGAGCTCTGCCCTGCGAAGAAACGATCCACCACCAGGAACAGCAGCACCGGCTATCGGGGATCGCAGCTGTCAAATCTCTGCTTGAACATCGACTTATTGACATTTTGCTATGGCGTTTGCAAAGTACTATGTAAAGTAATTTTAGCCAAGGCAGGGACGTAGTTAAATTTATGCTCGAGAGGGCTGCGCTTGGGTTTGACAAAGGCTTGGCAAAGGTTGCCTTAGATGGGCAGAGGCGTCAATCAAGGAGGGGAGCTGTTAACAGACTGAGAACTGTTGCCAGTGGAGTTTTTATTATTCATTTTTTTTTTTGCAGATTTTATAAAGTAAAATAATTTTGTAAAATAACGAATTCTTATATATATAATTTTTTTTGTACAGAGGCGTAGTTAAAAGATGCTTTGAATGGGATCGATTTAAGATGTAGACGATTTGAAAATTTGAAGAATTGCTAATAACTAGCTTATAGGAATGAACAGAGACGTAGCTAAGCGTTATTTTAGCCAAGCAACCCCTCTTACCGGAAGTATACCCGACGCCCCTGCCAATTGCAAGCAGTTTACATTGACAGCAAATTAGTTTGCGCCCCATTTTTTTTTTTTTTTTTTTTTGCTAACTTGCAACAAATGTTGTCTCTCTCCCTGTCCCTTTCCCTCTTTCTCTCGCTTTGGCTCGCCCACCCTTTGCGATTGTTTCGCCCGCTCTTCTTATTAGACGTGAGTTCAATGCACTCGAAATTGCGTAGTTGTTTCAGGTAGAGCATACAATTGATATCAATTGAAATGCCAGTCACATGCAGCACCCAACCAATCAGCTATGGACCACGTCCAGTTGCCCAGGCAACTCAGCTGTTTCCACATACAGTGAAACCTGACAGCTGAAGTACGCTGTCTGGGCGCATGAACAACCCTCGCCTGGCGCCTGACTCCTTCACACTCACATACACGCTTCGTTAAGGGTTGTCCACTGATAAGTGAGACGTTAAAAAAGGTGAGTTCGCGCTTGGCTTGTCTCCCCGCTAGCCACAATAATTATAGACTAAATTTAACTGGGGCTAATAAGCTCGAAATGCAAAGCGACAGCGACTATCAAGAAGAACGAACGATCGAACTTTGGCACGCCGAATATCAAATGTCCTTGTATCCATATGCTACTTAGATATTAAGCCCTTTAAAGCTCATTAAAGCTCTTTAAAGCTCTTTCTCTCATCCGTTTTCTTCTATATAGGATATATACAGGGTATTGATAGAAAATATATACCTAACGGGGCCAGCTATGTTTCACATTTCCTGGCAAAACAAAAATACCCGACATAAATACATTAAGAGATTTCGATTTGCAGCTTTATTCTGAATATAATCAAAATACTTTTTTTGATGCAGATAAAAATGGATATGTGTATATTCCACTTGATGGTTAAGTATAATTCACGCTTATCTTAAAGC